GGGCAACTCCTGCAACAACCCCCAAACAGGTGGGCGTGGCTGGAGCCTGGCCACAGCTGTGCCAGGCCCAGGGCAGTCACTGGCAGCTGGCGGGAGCCAAGCGCCGCCCCTGGAAGCAAGGTGGGAGTTGGAGCTGGGGTCCCCGCCAGGTCTAGCTCCAAGGAGAAGTTCACTGGATCTCAGTGCTGGGGAGACAATGGAGGAGTTGCTGTGCCAGTGGCTGATGGGCAGGAGGGAGCTGAGCCAGTTGCAGCAGCTGCAGAGGGACAGGCGCTGCCAGGTCCTCGCTTCCTGCTGCCAGACTGTGGATGTGGCTGCTCCAAACGGGGTTGCCAGTTCTCCAGGCTTTCCCAGGATCATCCCTCTTTTGAGGGCGCTGCCCTGGGCACTTCGTAAGGTGGCGCATTGTATGCTGCCAACAGTCCAGTGTTATGGATACCCCTTGGGGGGGGGTTGTATCTCAGAGGTGGGAACCCCAATTCTGCACCGCTGTGTCTCTCCCGCCTAAGAGTCAGCTGGTGCATGATCTATCCCTGTAGCGGGGTAGTTACCCCGCTCCTGCCCTGAAGGGCTTAAAACAGCCCTGGGGGAAGGTTGTGGCTGGGAGCTGCTAAGCTGAGCTGATTGGGAAGCAGCTGCAGCTGGGCCACACCCCAATCAGGCCTCAGCTGGCCCTATATAAGAGGCTGTGAGGCAGAGGCTAAGCAGTCTTTCTCTGCCTTCAGAGGGAGATGGGTCTGGCTGCAGTGAGCTAGAGACAGAGTACCTGGGTGGAGCAGGGCTGGGGACAGGCTGGGGCCTAGTAGGAGGCCAAGGGGTACTGGGGGTTGCAGAGGGCAGCCCAGGGGTAGGCTAAGGCAGCAGGTCCAAACCCAACCTTGCCTGTGATGCGTGGCCTATACTACAGTCTGCCGCAGGGAGCGGGGGCTAGTTGGTGACTGGCAGTGGCCTTATTCTGAGGCAAGGTAGGGATAGTGGGTGGGGGGTTCCCTGGGGAGGGGAGACCCTAGTACTGAGGGGTGTACAGCCAGGGTGCAGCACCCCAGATAAAAGGGTACTGGGGTCTAGGAGGGACATGGGGGGGGCCAGAGGACAGGCAGATCACTGGCCTGCAGGTGACGCTCCAGGACACTTGTTGGTGTCACTAGGCATAACCCTAGGTAACTCGGGAGGGTGGAAGACCAC